TCGAAATGACCTGACGTACAGAAGAGGCAAACGTTGTCTCGAGACCCCACACACCCATCGCCAGCTTCCCCTAACGTCCGCATCACAGAGACGCGACGTGGCCTCCAAGCTCGGAGCGGAACGTGGAGACGGCAGTGCCGGGCACGCCCGGGCCGACGTGTCCGGACTCCCCGCTGAACTCCCCGCGTCCCTCCCCTGTTCCGGGCTCCACGTCACACTCAGTCCAGGTCTCTTTAGTGTCCTCGGTCCTGCCTTGTCTGCCACGACCACGGCACTCGTGAGGCATGCCCGCCGGGTCGCTCCGTGCGGGTCCGTCTGTGGCGCTCGGGGACGGCCCAGCAGCACCGGTCCGGGGCAGGGATGCTGCAGGAGGGGGCGTTTTTCTCACCGCACCGCGTCGGGCTCGTGACGTCACCACGGCTCGTCACTGGTGACGTTAACCTCGACGCACCTGGTTAGGGGGGTGTCGGCCAGGTTCCCCACCGTCCAGATGCTGTTTGGCCCTTTCCAGCACGTAGGCTCCAAGCTCGGAGCGGAACATGGAGACGGCACAGTCAGACTCCTCCCGCAGGGCGGCGTGGAACGGAGGGCGGACATTCGTTAAAACCGCCACGGCCACGAATAAGCGCGCGAGTCGCTCCCTCGAGTTGCGCCCGCTGACCCTGGCCCTGGCCGTGGACCGTGCGGTGGCCCTGCTGCTCCCCCCACCTCTGCGCTAACGGCAGGATCCTGTGCGGAGGGTCTGACCGCCCCGCCCGCCGTTTACTTAGCAGGGCGGTGTGGACAGGGATTGCCAGAGTGCGAGCTGTAATCTGGTTCATTTACTTAGCAGAGCGGTGTGGACACATATCGCCGGTTGCGAGCTGTAATCCGGTTCATTTGTAATCCGATTCATTTACTTAGCAGAGTGGTGTGGACGTGGGATCGCCGGCTGTGAGCTATAATCCGGTTCATTTGTAATCCGGTTCACTTACTTAGCAGAGCGGTGTGGACGGGGCTCGCCAGTTGTGAGCTGTAATCCGGGTCATTTGTAATCCAGTTCATTCACTTAGCAGAGCGGTGTGGACGGGGCTCGCCAGTTGTGAGCTGTAATCCGGGTCATTTGTAATCCAGTTCATTCACTTAGCAGAGCGGTGTGGACGGGGCTCGCCAGTTGTGAGCTGTAATCCGGGTCATTTGTAATCCAGTTCATTCACTTAGCAGAGCGGTGTGGACGGGGCTCGCCAGTTGTGAGCTGTAATCCGGGTCATTTGTAATCCAGTTCATTCACTTAGCAGAGCGGTGTGGACGGGGCTCGCCAGTTGTGAGCTGTAATCCGGGTCATTTGTAATCCAGTTCATTCACTTAGCAGAGCGGTGTGGACGGGGCTCGCCAGTTGTGAGCTGTAATCCGGGTCATTTGTAATCCGGTTCATTCACTTAGCAGAGCGGTGTGGACGGGGCTCGCCAGTTGTGAGCTGTAATCCGGGTCATTTGTAATCCAGTTCATTCACTTAGCAGAGCGGTGTGGACGGGGCTCGCCAGTTGTGAGCTGTAATCCGGGTCATTTGTAATCCAGTTCATTCACTTAGCAGAGCGGTGTGGACGGGGCTCGCCAGTTGTGAGCTGTAATCCGGGTCATTTGTAATCCAGTTCATTCACTTAGCAGAGCGGTGTGGACGGGGCTCGCCAGTTGTGAGCTGTAATCCGGTTCATTTGTAATCCAGTTCATTTACTTAGCAGAGCGGTGTGGACGGGGCTCGCCAGTTGTGAGCTGTAATCCGGTTCATTTGTAATCCGGTTCACTTACCTAGCAGAGCGGTGTGGACGCAGATCGCCGGCTACGAGCTGTAATCTGGTTCATTTGTAATCTGGTTCACTTACCTAGCAGAGTGGTGTGGACGGGGGTCACCGGCTGTGAGCTGTAATCAGCGCCATTCCTTTGCAGCGGGCCCGGAAGGGGGCTGCCGGGGGGTCAGTGCCTGGACTGGGGTCGCGCCCCGTCCTCCTGGCACCGGCAGCACTGAGGCCCCCGCTCGCCCTCCCCCAGGATGACCGTTCCGCCACAGGGCCGGTCCCTGTCCCCGGAGGACGAGCGGCACTGAGAAGCCAGGGCCTGGTGCCGGGCGCTCGCCACCCCAGGGTCTTCGGTGCTGCCGAGGCCCCGGCAGACAGAGCAGGAGGCCGCGCGTGCCGAGACCCGCACGCACCCGCGGCCCGCCCGCCCTGCTGCTCCTCACCACGGCGCGTCTGCACCTGCCGCCCCACTGGCCGCTGCTCGTCCGAGCCGGCAACCTCGCCCCTGGTCTCCGCTCCCGGACTCACTCGTCTGACCCGGGCGCACGCGTGGCCCTATAAACTCCCTCGTGACACCCCTCTGAAGCTGAGTCCCGCCCCTCTGCTATACGCTCGCGGCCACTGACCCGTTTTATGTCCCTGTCGTTTGCGTTTTTCGAGAACGGCGTCTCAGTGGGTAACAGGATGTGCGGCCTTCCGCGTGTGGCTGCTTTCGCTGCTCAGCAAAACGCATCCGCGCTTCCTGCGCATGGCCACGTGGGTCACTTCAGGTCACACCTGGTGACACCAGGCCACGTTCCATTGCGTGGAGGCCGGGTGCTTATCCGCGGTGCAGCTACCCAGGCGCGCCGCGTCGTGAGCGAAGCTGCCGTACACGCTTATGGGCGAGTTCTCGAGAACGTACGTTTTCGGTTCGCACGGGTCAGCGGGAGAGAGGGACCGTGGGGTCACACGGGCAGCGCGTCTGCCTCTGCCCAGCACGGCCGCAGCGTCTCCCCGCGTCCGCCGGCAGCACGGGCGAGAGTCCCAGTGGCTCCCCGTCCTTGCAAACACTTCATATAATCAGGCGTCTGCGGTTTTTCTTTTTCTTTTAAATGTAAGGTCAGAAGGCTGGAACTTGTCTCCCCAAATATCCAAAATTGACACCATTTAAAATTCTCAGCCGCCCCAGTGACGGCGTAGCGGGTGCTCGCTGCGGACTGTTTGCGCCTCCCTAAGGGCTGCGGGCGTCGACCGCACGGAGCGGCTTCCCACGCGCTCGTTCGGGACCCGTCGGAATCCGCTGCTTCGCTCTCCTGCTGTCGGTCGGGAGAGTTCTTCCTATGTCCTGGATACCAGTCCTTGACCAGACAGGTGCCACGGAAACATGTCCTCCGAGTCTGAGGCTCATCTTTTCCAGAACGAACGCTCTTAGTTTTGATAAAGTCCAATTTTTCAAAAATGGTGTCCCTTAACAGGCCGAGATTTGGGTGTGATAGTTCAAAACTCATCGCCAAACGCAAGGTCCACGGATTTCCTCCCATGTTTCCTTCAAGAAATTTTAGTTTATGTTTTACTTTGGCTTTATTTTTTTTTTTTAGTAAGATTACATATAATACCTTTCATATTTTCACTTTTTCATTGTTGATCTTCCATGGTTAGGAATAAACGCTAAATATGTTAAAATTTAGATACTTACACACACATTTCTACATTTAAATTACAAATAGATTTAGGAGCGAGTTGCATTACTTTGGGTGAGCAAACCTCCCTTTTTCCAAAAAGCAAAAACTACGTAGACCACTTCAAAAACACGAAACATTTCCTATGACTGAGAACAACTATGACCGAGATTAAATCACCAAAGACACCTGCACCTCACACGACAAAGGGTTAACATCGCCAACGCGTAAGAGATGCCTACAAACTGACGAGCAGAAATGAGCAAAGGGTATGAACAGACACTTCTGCAGGAGGAAACCCAGATGCCTCCAGGCCACAAAAGGCGCTTGGTGTAGAAGGAAAACCAGCATCCCAGACGTCCACCACGCTGGCGGGCCCTGCGGCGGCTGCCAGCGGCCGGCTGGAGGTGGGGGTGTGTGGGGAGCTGACACGTGTACACCCCACTGCGGGAGTCTAGGCCGGAGCCTACAGCTTCTTGGGAAAACAACCCAGCAACATACAGTTGTCGAGGAAGCACCCCCCGCACCCACCTCCCGGTGTGCAGGTTTCACACGAATCGGGTGCATCCCCGATTAAGGTGGTGGCTTTAAGCGAATGGAGCCTGAGCGTCCGTCAGACACGGAATGGCTGTTACCTGTGGCAGATCGCAACCAAGGACCGGCACGCGGCTACTAAACACTACTTAGGTCGTCGTCTCTACGCCTGTAGAAAAGTGACATGAACACGTCGCAGTGACAGGGACAGAGCATCTCGTGTGTATAAAAGCAAGTCCCAGCTGGTGGCTGCTGTGATGAGTGGCGGAGGAGCTGGGCGTCCAGCTGGTGGTGACCCTGACGACCTTGGGGGAGGAGGGTCTTCACGTGTTTGTTTCCTTTTTACGACTACTTAATTCTTTTACAATAAAAACTTTAACTGAAGAAAAGTGTGTCCGGACAAGTCAGGGAGCTGCTACGTGTTCTCGCTCGGCCCTGAGCACCTGTGTCAGGTCGCCGAGGGCCGGCCTGGGAATCCGGATGTTACCGCGGGGAGTCGGGGCACGTCCCGTGTCTCCCTGTGGGTGTGGGTGGCACTGTGGCCGCTGCTCCCTCCTGGGCCGTGGACTCCGTGGGCAGCAATCCTACCGCCCTGGCTGTCGGTGGTGCGACACAGGCCACCGTCCGCATGACAGCCACAGCCTGGTGGTGGGGTCGGCGTCTCTTTACCAGACCTGGGCTCGTCTGTGTTACTCTTGACCTGACTGTCAGGGCTGAGCCTGGGGAGAGGCCCAGACGCCTGATCTGGCTCTGAGGTGGCATCGCTGGCCCTTGACTGCACCTCGGCCATCGCAGCCTCGGGCACGTGGGGCCGTCCTAACCCCCCAACCCCCCAGATCCTGGGGCTGAGGCTCCGGGCACGATCCGTACTCCAGGCCCAGCGGCAGCCCGTCTGTTTGTGGGGAGGCTCGGGGCGTGAAGGCAGGCCTGTCGCCGGCCGGGGTAGGGGGTTGGCGTGGGCGCCGGAGCCCAGCTCTGGCCAGCCCCGGCCCCGTGGTGCTAACGGGCGACCTCGCACCTTGCCCCGCAGTGAAGAAGAGCTCCATGCTGCTGGAGGTGAGCACGCCCCAGTTCGTGAGGACCAACAGCTTCACCGAGGACCTGGACCTGGAAGGGGAGACGCTGCTGGCCCCCATCACCCACGTGTCGCAGTGAGTGCTGCTGCCTGCGGAGGGCGGGCGGAGGGGCCGC